CCCAGCCGGACACGCGCGTTCCACCGCATCAGAGCAATCGGACGGCTAACACGCCCCCTCCCCCCCAAAGTCAGCAGCAGCAAGACACACTTCAAAAGCCCCATGTGTGTGAACCCCCCATAACAGCACCACGCCCGCTCCTGCCCATCAGCCTCAGAGAAGAGGAGGCTTGAGAGAGACCTCGGGAGGCATCGAGTCCAGCCCCCTGCCCAAAGCAGGACCAACCCCACCTCCCAGCCAGGGTTCTGTCAAGCTGAGACACTTGCAACCCCTCCCAGCTTGCTGCGTCCACAAATTCCAAAAGCATCTTCTCCACTTCACGAGCCAAGTCATTAATGAACATATTGACTAACAGTGGACCCACAACAGATTCCTGTGTTAATTGACTAGTCAAGTTGTCGATGGAATTTGACTAGTCGATAGGCACTTCCACAGTCCCCCTTTGAAGTGTACAAGAACCCGTGCTGGGTCCCCGCCGGGGCCCTGGGACCTTTCGAAGGAGGAATGCTGGGCCCCAGCAAGGGCTTTTGTGTGTTTCAAAGCAGAAACGCCCTCATGGGACCGAGTCCCCTGCTGACCCTGGGCTCCATGCGGCGCTGCTGCTTTGAAACGCCGAGCTGGTGTTTCAAAAGGACAGCACCACACAGACGAGCCCGGGATCAGCTGTGCGGTGCTGCCCCTTTGAAACGCTGCCTTGGCGTTGCAATGCAGCGCGCCGCACAGAGCTGACCCCAGGCTCCATGAGGTGCTGCCCCTTTGAAACGCTGCCTTGGCGTTGCAATGCAGCGCGCCGCACAGAGCTGACCCCAGGCTCCATGAGGTGCTGCCCCTTTGAAACGTTGCGGCGATGTTTCAAAGCAGCAGTGCCGTGTGAAATGGGGTCAGCTCCTTGTAGTCCTGCTTTGAAATGCCAAGGCAGCGTTTCAAAGGGGCAGCGTCGCACAGAGCCCCGCTACAGGCTCCGTATGGTGCTGCCGCTTTGAAGAACCCCTTCTCCTCCCCCCTTTGCTGCCTCTATCAGAGAGTCATGGGGGAGGGGGGGGAGAACTATCAGATAAGCAGCTGCTCTAAACCCTGGCCCAGCTGCACCATACCCCAGAGGGGCACAGCCCCCAGGCGTGACAGTGGCACCCCCTGGCCAGGCTGGCTCGGAGGAGCTGTTCCGAGGGAAACTTGGCAGCAGGGAGGCCCCCAGCAGACCCAGCCTCGGGGGGAGGGGGCAGTGGGAGCTGAAGGCAGGCCCGGTAAGGCAGCAGTGCCCAGCCTGTGCACATGGGCTGCTCAGCCAGAATCAGCCTGGGACTAGGAAGTCAAACGTGACGGCAATGAACCCCTGGAGACACTTCTCCAGGCTAGGAGTGTTCTCGGCTCAAGGGAAGCTGGGACGCTCTAGGAGGTCTGCTCTGGTTCAAACAGCAGCTACTTCATTCAGGGCAGGCCGAAGGGCGTGATACGTGGGTCAGACCCCACGGCCACAGGGTCCCTGCTGGCCTTGGAACCTCTAACAGCCCCCCAGGCAGGGACCCCCTGGAGCCCCTATCTGTGCCGCGAGGACCCTCCCCAGGCAGGGCTCATGAGCCAGGCTGAGCTGTCCCCACCGAGCCAGCCCTGGCTCTCCCTGCAGCATCAGGTGTCCTGGGGACAGGAGCCTGCCTGCTTGGCCCTATCACTCTGAATCTGCCCAAGCTCTGGGCAGAGCGCACCACCCACTCCCAGGGCCTGGGTGAGACCCTACGTCCTTCCATCGCCCTTCGGTGCCCTCCCCTCCGCTGCAGGTCCCGCTGCTGAGGGCGGCTGGCTCCATCAGTGCTTCAGTGGGCACGTTCAACCTCCCCGAGGCTGGATCTCCTCAGAACCGACTCTCAGCTGTCCAGCCCCCCGCTCTTTTGTTCTTTGGCAGAGAAGCAAAATATTTACAGGCGAGGAACATTTAACCTGCCGGAGCCTGCAGCCGTCCTCACGCACGGGAAACGGCCCCGCGACAGCAAAGGGCTGAAACGGACACAGGGGAGGTCCTGGGGATTAGGCGTCTCCCCAATCCCACCCGATGTGCAGGGAAGGGGAACAGGGCCCGGGGCACCTCGATTTAGGGGAGTGTGGGGAAGGGAGCAACTCCATTCACTCTATGAAGGGCCGGGGGGGGTCTCACCCCCTTCCTTCGAGGCTTGGGCAGTGACCCCCTCCCATTGCTTCCCAGAACTGTGCCCAGCCCCAGGCTCGCTGCAGCTCAGCCAGCCAAGCCCTGGTAACACCCCACCTCACACTGAAGGGCAGCCCATCCCACGCACAGCCCTACACATGGAGCTGAGCCGGCCTCCATGCCAGACTCCGCCCTGGGGGGGGTCTCACCCCCTTCCTTCGAGGCTTGGGCAGTGACCCCCTCCCATTGCTTCCCAGAACTGTGCCCAGCCCCAGGCTCGCTGCAGCTCAGCCAGCCAAGCCCTGGTAACACCCCACCTCACACTGAAGGGCAGCCCATCCCACGCACAGCCCTACACATGGAGCTGAGCCGGCCTCCATGCCAGACTCCGCCCTGCCTCCCTCACAGCCCCCCAGAGCAGCCAGGGCTGATGCCTCCTCTCCCCAGGAGAGGAGCTGAGCCGTAGCTGAGCAGTTCCCTCTAGTTAGCACAGCTCTGGCCTCCCCGCTCCAGGAGTGACCACAGCCGCTGGGCCAGGCTCTCTCCACCATGAGACCTGCCCCCAGGGGAAGCTGCTTCGGCTCAGACCAGAAGGCAGCGCGGGTGCCTGCGTTGAGAGCCAGCTCCAGCTCCAGGTCATAGGAGCGTAACCACCAGCGGGGAACAGGCGTTGGAACTACAGCCGGCACTGGCTCCACTGGGCGACGACATGCTGAAACGCACCTGGTCTCCGGCGGCTGGCAGGCAGGCAGCCCCTCCGCACGGTCAGAGGGCACAGCGCCAGGGGCACCCCGTGGCAGACGTACAGTTCGAGCGCCCCTAAGCCGAACATGCCGGGCTTAGGCTACTCCCATGTCCTTTTTATTAGAAAAATAGCTGCTTGGTGCTTCAGTGCCTTGGCTAGGAAGAGTTCTTCTGCCCCAGAGCCATTCCGAGTCCAGGAAAAGCCATCAGAGCAGAAGGCCGCCCCGCTGCAGGGCAGGAAATGTTAGCAGCTGTGTGACTGTGTTCGAGCGCCCCTAAGCCGAACATGCCGGGCTTAGGCTACTCCCATGTCCTTTTTATTAGAAAAATAGCTGCTTGGTGCTTCAGTGCCTTGGCTAGGAAGAGTTCTTCTGCCCCAGAGCCATTCCGAGTCCAGGAAAAGCCATCAGAGCAGAAGGCCGCCCCGCTGCAGGGCAGGAAATGTTAGCAGCTGTGTGACTGTGGGGAGTGGGACAGGGCCGGCTCTAGGGATCCTGGCCACTGGTCCTCACATAGTCCTGCAGATCCTTAGCAAGAGCTTCGTCGTGTGGCCTGTTCACCTGCTTTAGGCAGGACGCCAGGTACAGGGGGTAGGGCCTGGAAGAGACGAGGGCGCAGGTTAGGAAGCGAGGGGCACGGGGGCAGCGGATCACCCTGAGCGCCCACGCAGGGACAGCGCCACCGCTTCAGAAGCCTGCCCCAGGCACTGTCACCCCCTCCCCCCCAAATCCAGGCTAAGCTGCCTCCAGAGAAGGGCACCAGGTGCATCCCACACGCTGCACACCATGCAGAGAGTCCAAGGCCAGAAGACAGGCACCGTGCGGCACAGCCCAGGCCAGAGAATGCCTCGGGCCAACACCCTCGGGAGTCGGTTACAGGATGGGCCGGCACGGGCAGTACACAAGATGATGTGCCGGGGCCCGCAGGGGAGCAGAGAGCCCTGAGCCTCGCTGGGCAATTGGAGAAGAAAACCGGAGCCACGAGCGCTCGGTGCGCACACGCTCCCCCCCCCGGCTGGGGGAACAAAGCAGCGCACAGCGTGCTGCCTGCCGGCTCTTCCCGCTGCCCCGTTGCCCAGA